TGAAGGACTGTGGCTCTGCAGTGCTCTGCACCGCCCAAAGCACCGGGAGCCCAAATCCACAAGGATGTCGGGACACCAGGTTCCGAGGGCTGCGTAGGCCCTGGCTGGAGGGTGCCCTGCAGTGCGGGAAGTTTATCCCACCCGTCTGCAGCCCTTGCTTGGGAAAGGGGTTCAGGAACAGGTTTCCTGCGGCTGGGAGCAGCAGCTGCTTCCAGGAGCTATTTCGGGATGTGATGGAGTGGTGGCTCCAGTCGGAGGGCGAGGGATGGTTACGTGCTGGGAAGAAGCGATTTCCTCCTGCCCAGGGTGCATCCGGGGCTGCGGGATGCGCTGCCTCCCGTCCAGCACCAGGGCTGCCCCGCCAGCAGGCATCATCCCCGCAGGGATGAAGTGATCCCTGTTTATTTGAGCTCCTGTAACCACCGTCCGGGCGGGCGGCGCTGCCGGGCGCGCGGAGCCCCACGGCCCCTGCTCCCCTGCTGCTCCGGGATCTGCTTCCCAACGGGTTCGGCCTGCAAAGCCGGGAGACCTTCCCAGGAAAGCGTGACGGGCCGGGCTGAGGGCAGAGCTTTGGCTCAGGAGCCTCCGTGGGGAAGGCGATCCTTGTGGTTCATGTGTCCGAGGAAAGGCAATGGGACAGGATTCAGTGGGTCCCAGGTTTGGGAATGGGAAGTCTTGGATCTTCTTATGCCTTGGCTGCAGCTGGGTGGGCACAGGGCCTCGGTCTTGGGTGTCACTTGCCAAATGTGACCGGTTCATGGTGGCAGTGAGGTCTTGAACCAGCCCTGCGAAAGGCCACGTTGCTGTTGGCCCTGTCAACCATGGGATGCTGCCAGCGGCACCGCGGGATGCAGGTGCTCACGGTAACGGGTTCGTCCCTACGAACACAGGTTTGGATCTGCCCATGTCCTCCTCTTCCCAAATTCCCGCTGGAGGACATGCTCTGTTTGAAAGATCTTCATCCACGTTTGCAAGGGCTTGTTCACTCCTATAAACACACCATCAGCTGAGCTGGAGATTTGCATCTCTGGAGCTGAGCTGAGCACCTTCCCCCCTGATTCCTAACCCGAGTGCATCCCTTGGAGGGAGGCAGCGTGCCGGGCGCCGCAGCCCGCTGCAGGCACGGCCGAGCGCGGGGAGGAGAGCTGGGCATGCGGGAGGGAAGGCCGGCCCTGCCTTTGCCGCCTCTCCCTTGCACAGCTCCCTGCATCCGCGGGTCCCCGCCGGCGTCGGGCGCGGGCTGGTTTATCCGTGCGATGCTGCTCTGACCCGGGCGCAGGTGAGCGGGGCCGGGATGCCGGAGGCAGCGGTGGCTCCGCTGCTCTGTGCTGGGAGTAGATCTGCCCCCCATAAATCCTGGGGCTCCAGCAAGGACGGGGCTAGGGCAGAGGATGCCCGAGGAGCAGCGGGGATGGAGGAGCTCCGTGCTGAAACGTGGGCTTGGGGCGCAGGAGCCCGCGCCGATCCCGGCGTTAACGGGGTGGGACGCTGCGGAGCTGGGATCGCGTCCGCCCGGCTCTTCCCCGCAGGACGCGGCTGCACCAGGAGCTGTCAGAGCACGTCGCCGCGCATTTATCAAGCTGCTTTCAGAGCCTCCTGCGCGGGAGAGGCCGGGAAAGGATAAGGGAGGCGGTGGCAGAGCTGCCCGCGCTCCTCCGTGCAGCGCCCGGCTCCGATCCCAACCGCTGGTGCCAGAGGGGTCCTGCTGGGCTGCTGGGGACACCATGCGGTGACCGGCCGGGTTCCTCCCCGTGATGCTCAGGTCACTGCTCGGGCTGGTGTGAACGAGGAGGAGGAGGAGGAAGGCAAGCTGGGAAGAGATGGGGGGGGTCTTCATGCCCGCATTACCTCCCATGGGGCTGGGGAGCTGTGTGAGTAGGGGACAAGGACCAGACAGAGCAACATCCCTGGAGCTGATGGGCCCGAGGGCTTCGAGAGAGCTGGGAGCATCAGAGGGCTCTTCATCTGGGAGGAAAAGACAACCTCAGCCTCCGCCTGGGTCCTTTACTCCGGGTTTCCATATGCGTTTCTGTTGCTGCACCTTTTACCCATCACAGTCACGAGGGTTGTTTT